CCACAATTTTTTATCTGAGAAAATGAAAATGCAGAAGAATTATTCATTTTTCAAATTGTCAATTCGCTTATCCAATGTCAGATTACCGAATCGCTTGCTTGAAAGAAAATTTCTTTCATTTTGTTTCCTCTCTCAGTCTTTGCTATTTTATTTTAGGGAAGAGCAACGTATTTTACATTGTGAGGAGGATATTAGGAAATCATCTTCTTATTCCCTATGCTTCTTCTTTTCCCTATACCATATTAAGGCGTGTATACAACTGAACGAATGACCAGTCATGGGAACAGAATGTTAAGCATCATTCGCATTCATTCGTGTTTTATCTTATTGTTAAATAATCGTGTTTATGGAATGGGATTATGATAAGAAAATTCCAAATAATTTAATAATAAATTTGATTTTGCGTTATTCATTAGATTAATGAGTTATTTTTAGTGTAGATTTATTGAAAACTTTCAAATAGAGTTAACATAAGAATACTAAAGTCTCTCTTAAAAATCAATGACGCAAACTAATGTTTGTAAAAGAATAGATAATTTTTAGATTCTACTTATTTATTTTTAATCATCAAAATTATTTTCAAAAATAACGCTGTTAGTACATATCATTTTTTTTCAGTGCAGCAGTTACTGTTATAACGTGAAAAGTGTATATAAAAATTAAGCAAAAATTTATTGTTCTATAAAAAATGTTGGGAATAATATTGAAGTAATAGAATCATATGAACAAAGTCATCCACGAATAAGAATATAACATTTGTCAACGTCCATACCACGAATTTAAAGTACCAGTTCTCGTCTGATCACTGAAGTCAAGCGACGTTGGGCACGGTTAGTACTTGGATGGGTGACCGCTTGGGAACACCGTGTGATGTTGACATTTTTTTTTGCATTTTTCTCTTATAGTAAAAAAATGAATAAAAATGATTATTGTTATCCTGCAGTAATTATTTGGCCGACAAAACATTTATTCCATAAAATGAAAAAAATTTGACAAATACAATGTAAGTATATTAAAACTTTGTAATAATTTATTTGAAATTATTGTCCGAATATTAAAAATATGTCAATGTTCTATTTATAAATATATCGTCGTTTTTCTCTTCTTCGGCCCAACGAACTCAAAAGAAAGTTCCAAAAGTATTCGGAACAGTGATAGTCATTCAGCGATCGTCAATCCGTTCATTATAAAATATGTCATCGCGTCGATTTGCATTGTGCGCTCATTATGTCGAAAAATATTGTTGCACATGCTTAAAATAAACGGCGTTCGGATTCACATGATTTATTCGGACTGACATGATCACATTTATTCATTAAACTGGAAAGGAGAGTGATCCTGTTATGTCGATCTGTTGAATGTCAACAAGAAAAAAACAAATAAAATATCGATCGGAAAAATAATACTGATATATCAGAAGAAAAGCAACACTATGCTAAATTATGTTACTAAAGTTCTTGAAAATAACATTAAAAAAGATATTGTAACAAGAAAGAATTCGATAAAAATATGACTTAAAAATACAACATACATTGCATTGTGGAATATAATTTCAGTAGTTATGATGTACAAAACAAGATTTTATTTTTTTTTTACACTATTTAACTATTATTCCTTAAATATAAATTATAAATGAATAATATTTGTACGTGGAAAAAACACCGTGTGATATTGCACATAATTTTTTTTCTCTCATTCTAAGAAAAGTAAGTTTGGGATTTCGTTAACCTCCATCACTGTTTAATCAATTAATAATTGTCGTAATATTTATTTCATCACGCGAAAGAAGAAAATAATTTTTATGTGGTTAATACACACGGCGTTCTTGATCTTTTCAACATGGTATATTGACAAAACTAGAATATACGAAAAGAGATTTAATGAAATAAGAAATAATAGAAAATAAATATAAATCTTTCAGACTACTCTCTTTTGGGAACACAATTGAAGTGGAAATTAGGCAAGTTATTGCTCTTTTTTGGTACAATTGCGACGGTATCGTGTCTCAATAATCTTTCGCACTTTCCACTTGATGTTGATACTCTTCATCATCCGGATTTATCTCACAATCATTATCATTATTCGGCATTCTCACTTTGTTATACCTGTAACGTAATAAAAATACATAAGATAAATGACAAGATGCCGTCTCTAAAGAATTATATACAAAAAGTGTATAAGCGAACTATATCAAAGATAATAAACATTCTATCATAACTCTGTTCGATCTCGTTCATTAACGTTGCCTGCCAAACCAGTTTTGTATATCTTATCATATAACAGTAGAATTTCATTGATCTTTAATATGAATAAACAGTTAAATTTTGTAAAAGAAATCATCATTTTAACTTTCTCTTGACTTGGTGCGTTTCTTGGGCGAGAATAGGTACCTCGTGAAATCACCCTTACAAAGTCGCCAAGGCAACAAGTCGATCTTATCATGCAGCAGAGGCGAGATTTCCGGACTGACGATGTACGGTGTGCCGGCGCCGGAGCCACGGGTCAGTAGTTTTCTATTCTCATCGTAGCAACAGTGTTGCACGATAGCGCTTTCACTTTGCTGAGACGCTAAAGTCTGCACGCAATAAGCGGCACCAGGTTTGTAGATCGCGAGCCGGTCCTTGTCGTGGCTTACGTCGCGCCATCGATACTTCTTCTTTTGCTTCTTATCCCAGATCTGGTTGTCGTAGAAGATGATGTTCGGATACAGGCAGGGGCACGCTGGCAAATCGGCGACGGATCCTGCGGACACGCACACCCACAAACACACGTCGGACGTCGTCTCGCGTATTCTCGCCAAATTGCATTTAGCGAGCTCGATTTATGAAGTTTCGTTTTTACCCGGAAAGGCATTCTCGATCTTCTCCCTGTTGTCCAGCCACTTCTGACAGCGATCTTCATCGTCGAAGCTGCTCATGTCATCAATGGCACTCGAGTTCGATACGTCTGGATTCGACACGTTCGAATTCGACATATTTCCAGTATTGTTCTCCAGCGCTTCGATTAATCTTGCCAGGATAGACTCCAATCCTCCATGAAACGGATAATAATTATCAAGAGTTTCGCGAATATGATGTATGTCGTCTACATCATCGTTTTTATCCTTGTAATTCCAAACATTAATGCTTTCATGTTCGTGCTCTTCCTCATAAAGATTGCTCTCCGGAATTTTTACGACAGGTGGAACGCGATCCGTCTTCCGCCGAGATCCTTTACCACCCTTACGAGGACGATGCGTCGTACGGTTTCTGGGCCGCGAAGAATTAGCTCTCTGTCTGTGTTTGTTACCATCTTTTTGCTTGAATGAAATGGGTGTCGTCGAAATATAATCGTATAATTTCGTACGAGTTTCCTTATATTCGACATCTCGCGTAGAAATTTGTGCCTGAAAAACAGAAAATAGTGAATTCAAAAACATCGATTATTGCATTGCGATGATTGGGAGACTAATTATAAGTTCCATTATTTCGAATATAAAATCATGATAATGACATCAAATCAAATGAATAATCAATCTTATAATTTTCTCTTTCTTTCTATATTTTTTATGTTTATGATAAGACTTGGTATTAAAACATTTAAACAAACATAGATGCAAAATTACGCCGATTAACTAAAATATTTTCTGAAAAATTAAAAATTTTTTTTTTAAATCTAAAATCATGAGATTTTAAACCCTTTATTGTAGCATACATTATAGACAACATGGAGTCTTAAGAATATTTTTAAAAATCTGAAAAAAGGTGCTTTCCTTTTAGGAGATACAGATGCTTTCCAGCAAGAGGTAGACTGAGTGCTTTCCATTTGGTAACAAGTGTCATTCTATCTTTGTTACTCATTGAATCTCAACAAAGAATAATGTTTGCGACTTGTGTCATCAACTGAAAACCATTTCACGTCTCTTGAAAAGCACAAATGTCATTTCATCTCTCTTGATATTCAATGATAATAAAAAACGATATTATATGTGGACTATTGCTACATTTATATGGTATCTTTAAATTGAAACTGGCCAATCACAGTCATTCTATTCTTCAGAGGAATAGCCAGTTTGATTGGTCAGTTTCATAATTACGAATGTTGTTAAATGATTAAGGGTGCCGTGTAAAATGTAGTTATATTTCCATAAAAGGAAGGCAGTTGTAAACGAAAAGATAACGACGAATGCGTGTCAGAGCAACGAGACACACAGAATATCTGTTTATCTCGAGCTGCATAAGTAAATGCGATCACAAGAGTATACGTATTATGCCTCGCGCGTATCAAGAAGCGATTAATCAAAACGGAGAGATCGATGACCGGCGTGACTACGCGCGATATACGTAAAAGGCTGACACGGTCACAGCGACATCAAAGGACGCCGGCATTTGACGCGTGGATAAGAAGAACGCGGAGGCGGAGAAGAAGAGGGACGACAATCACCGGGAGCGAAGGGGCAGAGCATTTACTTCTGAGAAACGGCACGCCGCAAGATCGTTTCCCGTCAATGGCGTAGCCGCCTGTTGGTAGCGAGACAGATTTTCGAATACACCGAGCGAAAATGACGGGAGCAAAGACAAATGGAGTGGTCAAGTAACATAAGAACCAAGCGCGAGTCCTTGCCATGAATACTTTCAGGTAAACATTCGAATTTTAATGAGAATTTTCAAAGCGTTGCTCAGCAAACGAAAATGGATTGAAATGAATTGAAATGGATTTTCAGAAATATTGATTCACGAATGTTAAAATGAATGCTTTTCAATCCTGAATTTTTATTCATTTATAGGAACTGCATAGAGCATATCTCTATGCTTTTCAATCTAAAAATAATATTAGCTTTTTCTGTGCACACACACATTGTGAATACTGTTCAATTCAAAATTTTGAATAGGAAATGCAGTTTTTCAATCCAATTGCATCCAATTGAATCTAATTGAATCCAATTGAATCCAATTAAATCCAAAAAAAAGTATTCGCTATTTAAAATACGCATTCGGATAGAAAAAAATTTCAATCCATTTTAATTCATTCTCGTTTGCTGAGTGAATTATAGAAAAGTGCAAATGTCACGTTTGAAACTAATAATTTCTTACGAGTTCTTTGAGAAAATCTGGATCTTCTAGATATCTCGAAAGTTTAAAAAATTCAGAAAGTCCCTCTTTTGAAATGCTCAAGCAAATCATTTAAAATTGTTGAAAATAAAATTATTATCTCTGCAAATTAAAATGATATGATGTAAAGTATTACGAAAGTGAAAAAATTCTTGAACTATTCAAGGCTTTTGATATATTCGAGATTTTTTTTTAGATATTTTTTTTGTAGAGCTTTTTAAAACTTTTGTTTTAAATAATAAGATTTTCGTTATGTATTCGAAATACCTCCATTATACTGTTCTTCTCGAGCTCATTATTAGCTTCAGATATAGATTTCTGGAAAGTTTTTTTTTTTTTTAATATGTCTCGTTTTTATAAAACACAGTTGACCGAGTAAAACTTTATTAAAGACAATAAATATAAATAGAATAAATGAAACAGGAATAGAAATAGAGAAATGAAGAAAGAGGATTTTGACTATTAACAAATTATTGTAGAATTATTATAAAATAACTCGCGAAATTATATACATACAATATATATATA